CGCTACTGGGCCTCTAAAAATGCCAACTTTTTGTCTTCTTCTGCTCGGCCTCCAGTACCCGACACTGCTACCACTACTTCAGTGGTACCGGCCTACCTGCTACTTGAGTGTTTTTCCCCTCTGCTCTAAGTGTCGCGGGCCTATCCCCGCTACTCGAGTGTTTTCCCCCCTGCAWCCCTCAAAGTCACGGCCACAGGTAAGTACCGGCCCTGCRGGGCCTTTCAACCAACAAKTACCCTTGCGGGTCACACACACACTCAGCCGACAAGCACTCAGACAGGCATGCAAACCAGCAGGCACGCACACACACACAGACATGGGAATCACAGCAGAATGTGGGAATCTCAGCAAGGCATTCATTCCAGCCGCAAATCCCAGAAATCAGCAGTGTTTTCATGCTGTGTTTTGGCGGCTCATTACAGCTGTATCTATACTCTGAAAGTTGCAAAAATATGGCTACAATGACTGGGCGTTCTATTCGGGCGAAGAAGGTACTCACGCACCCAAATGCAAGTGAGTGAATGAGCCACTTCACACCATACACAGGTCCCAATTCCGTATCTGCTCATGTCATTTTGCTTATCCTCAGTGGGAGGATAAACAAAGGCAGTCCAGATTTTGGGATCCCTAATGTTGATTAAGTGAAGGTATATATGGTATATCTGGTAATGTACAGACATGTCACGCACATGCACACATGCTTGCTTGGTGGCTGCCTTGCTCAGTATATAACCACTCAGTGAATACGCTAACATGAGGGACAAATTTTCCAGCAAATCTGGCTAGCATTTTGGTCAAGATAGTTTCATTCATGTCCTCGAAAGATTATGGAAGGAATCCCTTGCTTTGTGACAGTGATGATCTGCCATTATATTCGACAAATGGATATTCTATTTTACCCTCCCTGGGTAAACAATAGGCCAATGATCACAGGCAACTGGCAATCTTCTGACAGCGGGCTGTTAGAGAGAAGACCAGATAAAAATGAAGAATGTCGGGATGAGGTTTTCAAAGCTCACCTATACAAGGACCTTCACCCGAAGGCCGTTCAAATCCTTGATCGCACACACAGCCAAACCCACTTGTTTGTGATGCGTCCGCAAAGCAAGCCCCAACAGGGCCACAGGGGAAGGTGTCACAGGGTCGTGCCTCACCGGCTGGAGAAAGAGAGAAAGCGAGGGGAAAAAAAAACAAAAAGACAGACAAACCACAACATACAAAGTGATCATCGGCACCTCGTCACAGCAGCAGCAACACCATCTCACCCAACTTTTGCTTAAAGCAACGCTTTTCAGTGTTTTCACCCTTTCTCTGTGTATTTCCAGTTCTTTTTATACTGCTTCGTTTTGCAGACAGCAAGCAATGATGACAAAAACGAGAAAAGCACCTGGCAGAGTGGTTCTGTGAACTTCTGTCACATGCAGCCTTCCACAAGACCTGCAACATACAAAACGGAGAACTTACTGGGCTACTCTGACTTCAATCAACATCCTTCCTTCTTTGTCAGTTATCACAGAACAACCCAACAGGAATGGTAATGTGAAACAAACACACATGCATCTTCCACCCCATCAACACATTTGAGATCTTGTTTGGGCGTTCAACCAAAACTCGCCTAAATAAGTAAATAAACAAATAAATAAATAAACCAAAACTCACCTGAATGTACATCTGGCAGAGAGATGAGCCCAATAAAGCAGAACAGCAGCCATGCTTTCGAGCTGTTCCTTTTCCCTGCAGATTCAATAACAACAGCACCCATGCATCCACAGTCAATGTTCAAGACAACTCTGTTGCCAGCAACTGAACTGGTGAATTCCATGAGCCCTGTCCACGGCAACAGGACACAACCCCCAAAGGGGAAGATTAGGACAGACTAGCATCAACAATATTTCTAGGATGATGTATCTTGACATTGAAAACCATCAAATCTCTTCATTGACAAGTCCAGAGGCCCAGACCGCAAAAACACGATCAAGTTCACACTCGAAACACAATCTCTAAAACAAAAACTCAAAAGACAGCCTACAAATTCATGGCACATGAGGCCACGGTCACAGTTTAAGAGCAGGCCACAGTCACAGTTTAAGAGCTACTGACCTTATGTCGGGTCAGTAGATTGTGACGCCCGATGGCCTGTACCTCTTCACCCGAACAAGTGGGTCATCGCCCCCACAATTCAGTGTTCAACAACAATTGTAGTACGGCGCCACACTTCCACTGAAGGAAAATGTGGCACACCCTTTCAGAACGACATTGTGCGTTCTAGTTCTGAGTTCTTAAACCACCCCTGGCCTTGATATCAACCAAGGCATGAGGCACCAAACAAGAAGCGGGGCCAAAAAAGTTCCAATGTTCCCACTTGGGCGATTTTTCATGCTCATCCTCTTCCATGAACAATTCCGAACAAAAATCATCAACAAAAATTGAGTGGCGATCTTTGACGGAAAAATGTTATATTATTAAGAAAACTTCTGGAGTCCGGAGGGGCAAAACAAATTGTGTCAGGAAAAGAATGCATATCTTTGCGCCCATGCTGTGTCCGAGTAGGCCCAAAACTTTCGGGTTCAGTGCTTCAGGTTCGGAAAAAACAAACAAACAGGAAAAACAGAAACCAGCTTTTCCTGTGCAGTTCTTTCTCTTCTTTCCTTTCAACCACCAGTACCTCCGAGCATCGTTTTGCCAAGGCAGATCTGAACTGCGAGCCAAGCTTTGTTGAACCCCCCGCAGCACACATCTTTCTTCTTTGGCTGGCACAGCCAGCCATTTTGCTCCAGTAGCATTGTTCGCCCACAATCTCCGGATTGGCTTAATTCCAATTCTCAAGTTTGCCTGGGCAATGTACTACCAGTTTAAGACTTGGATACAGACAGGCCCAGAGTGAGCAAACTAAAACCATACCTCACCCCAACGTCCGGGGGAACGTGTGGATGAGAGCACACAACCCTTTACACCACCACTATCTTGCACAGGCAGACTCCAACCACCAATTTGCTGCAAAAAGCATTCTTCGGGTGAACAGTGCTACCCGACCAGAATGGCTGGCGGCACCTGCCAGCCTTGAAAACAAAAAAAACAAAAACGTTGTGCGGGCGCTTCAGCAAAGCTTGGCAGACAGTTCTTTTCCTCCTCAGCAAAAACACGCTCGGAGGTAGTTTACCAGGAGACTCACTCTTTCTCAGTCAACAGGTTGAAATGACTATCCACCAGCCACATTATTCTTTTTCTCTGTTTCTCCGTTCGGAAGGGTTGGCCCAGTTTTTCAGGAGGCTGTTGCAATTTAACAGCCTAGCAAATTCCTCAGGTTTGGCTCAATGCCCCGCAAAGGGCTGTTCTTCAGCAAAGTTTTGAGGCAAGCAAAGGTCAGAAACATACTTGCGGCGCATCGAGGTGCGCTGCACCCCGCACGTGCGCCACGCCGTGCGCGCGCACGGGGTGCGGCGCACCCCGAAAATAAGGGGTCGACCAAAAAAAAAAAAAGTTGCCGAGGGGTGTTCTGGGCCAGGGTGGGATGTCACGTGACGAACCAAAAAAAAAAAAAAAAAACAATTTGAGGCCGCGCGGGGCCTCGGAAAAAAAAAGGGGGGGAGCTGAAGTTGGTTTGTTTTTTGAAGTTTCGAATCCGGAGTGCTGCCCCTCACTGCGCAGATGAACCCCGGTAGTCCAGCTTTGTGCCCTTCGCGCCCGTCGTGCGTTGCCCGTTGCCTCCACGTCTCCTGTGCAGCAGCAGCAGTTGAAGGCGTCGTCGTCCAGCCATAGCCAGGGCACTACAGTCTTCCTGAAGGAGCCCAAGAATCAGCGGGAGGAGCGCGGCTTCAGCTCATAAAGTTGCCAGGTGGGTAACCACTAGCCCCTCTCTCTCTCCCCTCCTTCCTCTCTCTCTCTCTCTCTCTCTCTCTCTCTCTCTCTCTCTCTCTCTCTCT